CTCTCACGCCTGGCCAGCCCCGCTTGGACAGACTTCAGTGCACTCAGCGGGCGGGCAACGCTTCCCTGAACATCCTTAGCGAGCGGGAGAAGCGCTTAACCACTTCCCTTCCCGAGGAATGAGCCCCAGCACCGGCGTCTGCCCACGGCCACGGTCCCACCGCTGTTAGTGCCGGGTCGGCACCGCCAGCCCCGCAGCACACACTGGATCCGGATCACACGCGGGCAAGCAACGGCGTTTCTGTTGGATTAGCCGGCCTCACGGTCCCGGCTGCAGAAAAGGCAGACCCAGAGAGCAGTGGGAGGCCGGGCAGGCATGCAGCAGCTGACAGAGCGCCTGCCAGCGCAGCACCGACCCGGTGTGTCTCTGGGAATAACCTCAATGCAGATTTTTGACAGTTTACACCAGTTCAGCACCACTGGCACTCGTCTGGAGCGTCTCCCATCCTGAGCCAGGCATTCTTTAACAGGGCTTGGGTAACCTCAGACCGCACTGGGGGGACTGGGGAGGAGAGGTGGAGGCAGTGGTCTCCAGCTGAGCGTGCCCCACGCAGCGGCGGGCACACCAGAGACGCCGCTCCACGGAGCTCACACGGGGCTGGGAGGAGCAGGCTGGCGGGGCCCGAAGGAAAGCTGGACACGCTGGGCGGTTCTGAGCACCATTTTACTGAAGGGCTGGACACCTGCTCAGACTTCATAACAAAAAGTTCACTTCATTTAAGAAAAAAGACAGCCTGTTTTTTGTCCCATTCCCTCCGAAGAGCGGAATAATACTGTCTTTTCACTAAACAATGCCATTCCAAAATATACAACACTGAGTGTGGATCAGCCCAGTCTCATATTTAACATTAAATATTAATATAGCTTCGGAAACATTCTACACAAACAAATGAAACAGTAAAAAGTTCACTCAAGAACAAGATGGTCAGTTGTAAATTCACCATTCAAAAGTTTGTTACTCGCCCTCCCGTGGGCTGCAGCCACTGCTCCCCGGCCGTCGCTCAGGACCCCCCAA